TGGGGTACACTTAGGCACAGTCTTTTGAGAATTTGGATTAAGCTGTTGTCTTCTAGAGTTGTAAGTTGAGAGCTTTCCATGATCAGAAATAAAAGACACTCATAATACATATTTAAATGCAGCTTGGATTTTTATTTAATATTTTTTTTCTTTGCTTGTTTATTTAGTTAGTTTTCATCACTATGTTTCCTCAAGGCTCTTTTGCAGAAGGGCTGGCACTCAGAGCTTGCACACTACAGCAGGTCACGATGACCACATCACTCCGCAACATCAAAGCACTCTTTCGATACCCCGGAGGATTAGGCTCTCTGCACAGAGGGAAAATGCGCATGTATTTATTTCCATGAAAAATATTCTCCATGCATTTTGTGGGGGTAAATGATGTGGCAATCAAACCGCGTCACATCACCTGCCTTCAAAAATATTCACTTCGTATGCCCCCATCCACTCTGCAGGAAGTGTGTGTGGGTGCAGGCGCTGTCACAGAGGGTGGGTGGCAGCTGTGGCCCCCCCAGCCCCCCCTGCTCCCTGCCACTGCTGTGCTTTGTGTCTGTCGGGCCTCTGCGACAGCCCGGCTGCCGATGCTCACCGCCGCTGGGAACACACAGAAGGTGTCACTACGCAACAGGTGAAATGGGTATTTATTTGCCAAGCAGAGGCAGAGGGGGAAGAGATGTAAGTCCCCACTTTACACACACACACACATCTGCAGTGTGTCAGTGTTTCAAAAGCACAGTTTAAGGGCACGTGTGATCTCTGCTGCAAAATGAATGGCTGTTCTCAGCCAAGAAGGCTAAGCAAACCTGCACGAGTGACAGATTTATATGCCATTGCATTAACGGATAAACCAACAGTTTAAATACAGTTTGCGTGCTCAGTGTGGAGCAGTTCTATACCCTGGTTCACACCCATCCACGCAGGGTTAACTGGTGAATAGTAAACAAGACCCCTACAGTGCACCCGTTCATAGCCTCATCTATAGCACACCAGCCTCACTTTTTTACCAAACTGAGCTGTGAAACTCTTACTGTCTGTAACTTTAAATCCCTATCAAACCTCTTACCTGATAGAAGTACCCTGGGCATGCCCCACACCCCCATCTCCCCATCAGATCTTGTAGCATTAATGCTTATGAGATAACAACAGCTGTCATCAGATATCACCACAACAGCCTACTTTGTCTTAGGAAGAGTCATGGTCACCAGGCGCCCCAGGAACGAGCAGAAATCCATCTCAGGCAAGGGGAGGTTCTTCCTCAGCCATGCCAGTGCCATGTAGCATCCTCAATAAAAAAGCGTGCTTGCTGTGCAAGTATGCTGCTTTAAAAAAAGAGGATACTTGCGGTTGTGAAGTCTCCACAAATTTTTATTAAGTCAACTCACTCTACTCCCTGCTGAAATGTAGATGATCATCCTGAAAGATGCTGTAAAACCTTTGTGCAAAGCAAGATCTGAGACAATTTCTAAGGTTTCTGAGAAACCAAGTTAACTCTGGGGTGGGGAGGGGATTGTAGCCAAAGGACTTGTTGGACCAATTTCAAAATATTCCTTGAAAACACAAGAAGGAGCAGGAGTGTATGAGTGTGTGTGTACACATACATATACATCTCTTTCCTTTCCTTCCAACAGCTTTTCCTGCTCATCCTCTCCCTTAATTGAGATTTTTTAGCTCCAGCAGTGGATCACAGCAGTAATTATTTTCTTGATCTCTTGCCACACACTCTCTTTCATCTAAACTATTTCACCCACTCACTTTTGTGCAACTAAATGAGACACAGCAAACACGTGAGTAGTGAATTCACACAGCAGAGGGAATAGGAAAATTCAAATCGGGGCAGCAGGGCTGTTTCCAGGCTTGCAGGACTCCATGCAAAGTGCCTTTTGGGCTCTACACAGTTTCTTCTCCAATTGTAATTTATTTTTCCCCTGTCCAAAAGCCCGTGTTTCCCACCCTCACCATGCCAGAACCCTTCATGGCACTTAGAAATGAATGTAGACACTCTGTTCAAATTACTGGGAGAAAATAAGAAGAACTCCTGATCTCTAGAGTTTGATATAGACATATCCTGGCATTCTCCTTGCTGCTTTAACCTGAGTAATCTGTCCAAAATAACTGCCATTGATTCATTTCTGTTTTCAGCAAAACAGAGGTTTGATTCTTTCTGGTGGAAAAATGTTTTGTCAGAAATATTTTGACTTTATTTCCAAACTGTGAAGCACTTGATAATTCCTTTCTGTAATTATTATGCATTTTTTATGTGTCAGGGAGAACACTGAAATGAAAGGGATGCACTGCTCTTGGCAAACCTGATCTTCTTTCCCCATTGTTTCTTTTCCGTAGCTGAGGGAGGAATATATCATTTTGTTCAAGAAGGGAAAATTCCTGCTATTTTCAGTGCTGTGAACACTGGGAGTTCAATGACATGCAATCACTGTTCTTGCCAATGCAACGGGACACCAGTTCAGCTGTATTTTTGGCTCAGTCCTGTGCTTTCTAGGAACCACTTCACAGCACCACCACCACCTATTAGGAGTACAAGGGAAGGGGGCAGAACCCTCCTGTTGCAGCACCCTATCCCTTTTTCACACCTGCACTGAAGCTGACTTTCGAAAAAGCAATGCAACAGCGCAGAAAACGTCGGGGAGTGCATTACCTTCCTACAAGGGGTCATTGCAGAGATCCTCTTCGTGCTGCACTTCAGCACCGTGGCTTTGCTCGTGCACGCCGAAGTTGGCACCGTGGCTCCCCAGCTCCCAACACAAACACTTGTGCTTGTTCTGGAAGGAGGGTACCGCCTGCAGCGTGCTCAGGGAACCCCGCTCGACCTCGCAAAACCCCTCTAGGGGTCATCTGTAGTTGTTAAATGTTTTTCTTCCTCCGTTTCACTTTGTGTCCCCTGTGAGTGGCAATGACAGAAGCCAGAATTTAGTTCTAGCCTTTGATATTCCGAGTGTCTGCTTTTCAGCTGTGGCTTTCTTAAACCTGAATGATAGCAAGCAAAACATCCATTTCTACAAAGCTGCTAGCAGACTTCAAGAGCAGCAACTCTAAAAATGTGGGAAGTTTCCACCAGAAGTAGTCCTTTAATGGCAGTCGCCAAATACTACCTATAATGAGAAAGCAACAGGTCTGAGACTTGGTGTTAACCTGACATCTGTTAACATCTTCTTCTTTATCTGGAGGGGTTTTTTGCTATCTGGGAAAAAGCCTGACCCTGAATAAGTGCCCATTGGAAAAAAAAAATAAAAAAGAAAGCCAGACAATTCAGAGGATGGGAGGATGAAAATGCCTTCAACTTCCTATAAATATGGCTAAAAGTGTCACTCAGGGACTCAAGAGTTGTCACTCTTGATATTCTTCCAGATGATCTTTTAGTTTCCTTTATTTTATTCAATAATACCCTGTCCATATGGAGTCCACAGGAAAATTATGCCTGGGAATTTGAGGATTCTCAGGGAATGCTGTGGGAGGGAATTTAAGGTAGGCTGCCTAAGCCACAATTAACTAGTGAACTCAGAATTTGAACATTTCGAATTTTCTTTAATATCATAAATTAACTTTTATAGAACCATAAACAGCAGATCAGACAGTACTGGCAGGTGTGCCATGGGCAGTGCTGACAATCTGCAGTCATGAGAGCTTGTAGAAACTTCTTCCTGCAAAATCACTGAAGTTAGGATAGCAAAACCAGATGAAGATCCAGACTCACAACCAGCATCACCTTGGCGCTAGCATCCTGGCATGGCTAAAGTAATATAATTGCCCTTCAGTAGTGTTATACTGTTACTAAACAGGTTATTAAGCAAAAAGGGAAATTAGCTCTACTATTAAAAATCTTTTTTGTGATGATAGAACCATTTTGTACATTAGTGTTACCTTGCTGGGAAAGTAAACCACCTTCCTCAGCAATACAAACCCACCAGTAGGAAGACTGAGAAAAAATAAGAGCCGAGAGGCAATGATTATTTTGACCTGTGTGGTTTCCCCACTTTCAGATCCAGCTCCTTGGCATCAGACAGGGTGTCAAACTCCCCAGTACACACACAGAAAGTCAGCAAAATAAGAGACTGTTTCTCAAGCTGCAGGAAAGATGTTTACTGTGTTTCTAGAAAAATATCTCTAAATATGGAGTTTCTAGGGATGAATTAAACTGTTCCCATGCCACAGTAGCCCAGGTGATCCTTTGCAAAACTGTCCACTGGAAAAAAAATCAACATCTGCCCTACACATTGAGGTGCAAAAGCAGGCAGGAGGACTTACCCCGCTGAAAAAAAGTCATCTTTCCTGAGTGCGTATGTTTAACCCAGGCTGCAGCCATCTGTTCAGAAGAGTGTGTCATCTTACAGCGCGCAAGCAAGTGTGTGTATATAGGAGTGTGTGTTTTTTGCTCCCTGACCTAGAATCATGCTGTTATATAAACCCTGGGATTATCAATAACCTCACATTACAAACCAGCTCCTGTTCAACTCATTAAAGGATTGTGTCTCTGCCTGTTCTGACTCATTTAGCCTCTTTGGCATTCTTTCTGTTAATGAAGATAGCAATTCATTACTCTGCCCTAGCTGAAACACCCAAAGGTTAACTCAGTTTTCCCTTTTGAAACGATTCTTTTACAACGGTATTGCAGCAGTTCCTTCTGCACTGCAAAACAGGCATCAGACCAGCCAGCAGCTAGATATTCCAACCTCAAATACTTGCTTCTGAAATTACGGCTAGATGTATCTGAAGTACCCAGACCTGGATTAAACCAGCAAACTTCCACCACCCTCAGCCCAAGCACTGTTCCCTCACTTTATCACGTTCGACATTACATCACCGCCTTGCAATGAAACATATAATCAAAAACCCAGAAGCTGACTCTCTCTGGGGATTTTGGAAGAACCAGTTTGTAGGGAGAAGAAGCTGAGATGTGACCTTGTTTCTTTAGGCTTTTGCCATACTGAGCAAAACAACTCTCCTGTAAGTAGGTTCATAACACTGTCCTTTTATTCTTTAACTAGCTCTACAATTCGACCAGGCCAATGGGATCAGCAAAAATTCTGCAAGAATTCTTCCTTGGAAATCCAGGAATTTGCTGTTCTGGTTCTTCTGGCTCTCGGCTCTTGCTCAACCTGCTGTATTATATAGAGGTATGCTCTGCTTCCCTCCCAGAAACTCATCCTACACAGTCCACTGCAAATGCTGAAAGTCTGCTTTACAGGCTGAAAGACTCATGTAATTTCTTATCTTTTTTTTTTTTATTTATTTATTTTCTTAATGGTCTTAGTGGACTTTGAGTCTAAACCTAAAGAAATCAGTCAGACTTGAAGGTGTAAAATTCCTCAGTGTTGGCCAGTGCCTCATGAGTTTAAATCCCAAGGTAGGGATTTAAATCTATCCAAGGATAGATTTAAACATGCTTCCAGTCAGAAAGTGATGTCTCTGTATAGCTAGTATCACCTGAAGACATACCAAAGTTTTGAGGGAAAAGCATTTTAATGGCTGAATAATTATTATTGCTCTCAACAGGTGAATTTCCAGGTCACTTTGTAAAGGAATAATCTGGACAAAACTAGAGTAAAGAAACAAGAACTAAACCAAACCCTCCAGAAATCACCCAAGGTTAGAGGACACCGTGGCTGGAACTTAAGCAAAACAAAACAAAGGGGAAAAAAGAATAATGGAAGAGAAGAAACAAAAAGAAATTAAAAATAGGGGGCAGTTAATTTTTTTTTTTTTTTTTTAACAAAGCTACAGGACTGCAGGCAAAACCAAGGAAAATTATGTTGCTCTTCCTGTGGAAAATTTATGAAATTCAGATTGAGAGAGTGTTCTGATCCGTCTGAGGTTGGCATTTTTATGGGGCTGGCTTCTCCAAGGCAGCCTATTACAGCCCCATTCAATAGTTCTAACCATTGTGGAAAAATGCCATGTGCCAACAGCTATTTTCCACAATTTTCTTCAGAAAATCTGAAAGAAATGCAGAAAATTGATTTGCAGCCCTGGCAGAGAGATAGAGAAACAGTAGCACAAGGCTGCAGGCCAGTAATTTATGTTTCGAATGTCACTGAGTGCTTTGCCTATAATTTCAGGGGAGAATGATAATAATTAAAAGAACAAACTCGCCAGTTGTTTCTTAAGAGGGAAAAAAGCTGAATGTAGTAAGTGTAGGGATTTCTTTAAGTGCTTAACTTTTCCAGTGGAGTTTCAAAAATTAAATATAGTAATAATATCTGTCATCCAAGATTATCCCAACAAGCTTTCCAATGTAGACAGGGGAAGCACTTCAACCACCACTAAAATGCAGCCACTGCTCGGATGAAACGTGGCAGCTCTTTAACAACAGGCAGCCCTCCGTGGCCCGTCAGTCCACAGACGTGGACCAGTGTTCAAATGCTGCCCTGGGACACGAAGAAGCTGCCAGTGCTGTCTCTGGGAGGGCAGGGAGGGCTCGGTCATTCCATCATGTCCCCACCCAGCACTGGTAAGGGTGGTGAAAAGACACCTGAGCCAGAGGTGAACAAAGGTCCCGCACCACAGATAGCCGAGTGGATGTGACAACTTGTATCAGGACTTGCTCATTTGGATTTAGCCTGGGATCCCTTGCACGATGCTGTGTTGCACCATTAAATGAGTTTTTCATGAGGGAGCAGTCTGTAGTAAATTGGAGCATACAAAGCCAGCACAGAGACAAGAATGAGAGTCAGTGTTATCAGAGCAACTGGCTCTATTTCTGTCTTAAAGTTCATAAGATGTAAAAGATTACCTCTCGACACAACATTGGCTCCAATTTAACGCCAGCAGTTGTTGCCTGGAGTGTATATTCACTATGCAGTGGTTACATATGAGGTACTTATTTTTGGTCTACACCAAGCCCAAGCCTCTCTTGGGCTGGTTCTGTAGCTAGCTGAGATACTGATTGAATACTGACTTCCAATTCAGCTCAGGTTGCAGGCTACATGCTTAGCTATAGAGAAACTGGGAAAGAACCATTGCAGCTTAAACCAGTCCTGTGACACCCTTCCTACCTATGGGTTCTTTGGCAGAGGACACAATACCAAACCGCAAACTATAGTTTGCCATAGCTAGATTTCCACAGGACCATCCCACGGGAATTTCTGAATAAATGGCTGAATTCACCTCCATCCTGTGTTTGAATAAAACTAAGTGTGCACACTCCTGTGTGCATGGCCCAGGAGGATGATTGTTCACCCTGCAAATACAATGTACTTTCCTATCAGTGGGAGTAGAAACCCAAACAGCAACTGAAATTGCAAAGGAAATACACAAGCCACACAAGCACTTCCATTTACTCTTTGGTAAAGTTAATAGAAATTAAGTGTATGCACCTAAGAGCAAATTTTCTTTATTATGAAAATAGGGATTATTTCCTTTACAAATTATTTTATTTGCCAATGGCTCTAATCTATACAGAAAAAAATGAACTTTAACTTTCCACATCCATTCTGACAGCCATAGGGATATTTCTCAAGGCATTTATTATACCTGCTGAAGACTTACAAGTAGTATTTTATATATTTCAGAAAACTAAAGGAATGGTCATATTTCAGCAGGTGGTCTTAAATGGAGAGCAAAAACTAAATATTGTATTTATGAAAACAATAAAATCAATAAATAGTCAAGAGATCAAAATAAAAAATTATGGGCTGAGGAGGTATTTCAATTCTATATAAAGACTACATTTTGTCTAGATTTTTTCAAACAAAGTAAATCACAGAATCTTTATGGATACCAGCAATATCATTTGGAGATAAATGGCTTGCAGATATTCGTTTCTGACTGGGTAATCATTGACCCTTTGACTATTGACCATTTGTCCACAAATCATAATATTTACTAAAAAACAAAGGAGATTATATACTGCTACATGTATTCACCTTTTTGCAGCAGAAATTTCTCCTGATAGTGTCTCATATTGATTATGAACGGGACTTGAATGAGGACATAGTATAGTAAATTTGTGTATCAGTGCTGCCCCCAAATGCTCTTTCTTCCTCCAGAATCTAAATCTTCATTAAAAATAAAAATAATTTTATACCTCTTCTAATAAGTATAAGATTATGTATTCCTTTAATAGGAGGAAAATTTTGGAAAAGTATTTGGCTGTGAATGACGTAATCTACGCCTGCCTGAGTTCGAAGAGAGCCTGAAGAACAGTATAAATAACGAAGTCCTGTATTCATCTCAGTCAGGTATTAACTCATTTTGCTTCTTAGCAACACATGTAAGAAAGCAGAGGGTGATCTCACAAATTGCTGTGCTAACTTGTTAGAAATTCCCACTGGAAACATTCAGAAGGAAAATTATCTGCAGGTATCACACTTTGAATTTCCCAGCAGCTTCCCTGGATACATTTTGCATTGTGGAGGGGTAACAGCAGCAAAAAACCCTCAGAGAAATGCAAAGCCCATGGAAAAGGATATCTGGATCTACCTTCTATGTGTTACTAGGGTTGAAGTGTGCTTTGCTGGACACAGTAATCCCATCTCAAGTCAGAAATACTTGGTAAAAAGTAGATGATCCTGCCTAGGGCAAGGCCTTTTGCTCATTCTTAGAACTGGTACACTCCTGAGAAGTGGCCTTTAGTACTAGTTTTTGATTGCACCAACACAATTGCACACATTGCTGATTTAACTGAGGGCAGAATTTGACCCTTAAGCCTTGTTAGCTCCACACAATGTCAGAGGTGCTTTGACCACGGGACCTGTTTGAAGCCTTATAATAGTATGCTATCATATAATAAATATGTGATTAACAATTACTAAGCATTACTTAATGAAAGGTTTTCTTGCTTTTTCTGTTTATATCACTGTGTATAATTTGAACCTTGGATAATTAAATGCTACATAAAATATTCCAATACTAGCGATCCTGGGAGCATCTTTTTGAACACTTGGCAACCTGGTAATGGTTTGTCATTAACAATCATGCCCTAATGTGACATTCCACTTCAGCAGGCTCTCTGAGAAGGTCTTTTTTTTTTCCTCTGCAGCAGGGAGATGAAGACTGAGTTATCCAGAAGAAGCAGGTGTTGCAGCGTTGCTCCCTGTGGAGGTTATTTCAATACCCAGACGTCATTAGCACTGAGATACAGTACGTTGTAGTACAGTAAATGCGTCACATTGCACTGGCTTCCACGGTACTCTAGTGCATCCTGCCATGTATCATTGCAGGTTTCTGTCAGCAAAGGTTGTTTGAAAGGGAGGGACTAGTCACCGTAAGCAGGAACTGCAGAGCAAAGAGGAAGATTGTAATCTTCTTTTTCCCTGTTTTACAGATGCTATCTTCTTTGTACACACTAGGTATTGAGATAAAAGCAAAATACTACAAATTCAGAAATCACTGGGTCCAGTTTGGATAACTGTATAAACAGCAATATTAGCTGAAAACAACATTATAAGTAATACTGTGTTACAGTAACATCTCTGATGGTGTACCAGTGCACCAGTGGTTTCACCAGGGAAGGATTTAGCCCTGCTCTTGCATTGCCCTGTGCTTGGCTAATGATATTATTTCTGAATAGGTAACATCTTCCATGAGAGGAGGTGGATGGGACATGGATGCAGATGTCTGTGCAATGTCTTTCTTGCCATGTGGTAGAGGCTAGACTAGTTCTCCGGACCTGCAAGTCCTTAAGCTCCTTGTCCCCAGGAAACCTGCCCCAGATTTACAGCACTTTAGGACGACAAGATAATTCAGGTTCGAAGGGACCTCAGGAGATTCTACTAGATCAGACCAGGCTATTGAGGGCTTTCTCCAGTCTTGTCTTGAAAACCTCCATGATGGAGATAACACGGCTTCCCTGGGCAACCTCCTCCACTGCCAGCCTGTCCTCCTTGAGGAAGGTGTCCTGGTGAAGGCCCCTTGTTATGGTGCCAACAAGCATGCAGAGCAAGTGGAAATTACACCCCCAGTGAGTACAGAGTGATGTAGCAAGGAAAGCAATTAGCACGATCATGCAAGATAAAACAGGGATGAATTAGGCAGGCTTGTCTACACTGCTGTCTTGAATTACACCTAACACAGAGATAACCTGATCTAGCCTTAAACTTGCAACTGGTCCCCATGCTCGTTAGCTGAGTGGACACTGATCATTTTTGGCCACAGCCCCTGTTGCTTAAGATTTGACTGTTCTGTTTAGAATAACTTTAGTTATTCGACTCCTTCTGTCAAGCTGTCTCCTCTTTCATCACCTAAGTTAACTCCGCTATCCTTTACACCCCTGAATAGCATTATTTAATGTCTCAGTTGGAATGAACAGTGAAGTCTCTCCCCTGAATTAAGCTGGGTTTGTGTAGCTTTGCACGAAGTCTGGATTGATTTAGTAAAATCTGATATTGGCAATGCATGAGGTACCGGCTAGTTTTACTGTGCATGATGGGGTAGGAAAGTATGGCTAATACAACAAGGAGGAAAACACAAACCTTTGGTACATGGAAGTAAAACCAGGTAGAAACAGGTACACTTAATGAAGCAGTTCAGAATGAAATGCTGCTTCAGCTCTGCAACTGTAAATCTAAAGTAAGAGAAAGCCCCCACAGACACTCAGCGAGCTGATGGAGCAATCTGAAGTTACTCCAATCAACATCTGTTTCAGTGGGAGCAGAACTTGCCTTGTTGTTGTTAGTACAAGTCACAGTTTACACAGCATGAAGTGTTTCAATTTCATAATGAGGTTTGCATTTGAATGTGGGTTTCTGGGAATACAAGAAGATAATTTTATCTAAACCGATTTATCCACCCCTAACAATTTTTGCCCAGCAGGTCACAGATGCCGAGTGGAGATTCACTAGTGGCTCTGCCTGTGTATTCGCAGGAGATGCCTTTTTTAATTCCTTAGCAATTTCTTTGTTACTGGAGGATGAGAACAAAAGACTGGCTGAATGAAGGGAGGCATGACCCCTGTGTCTTAATAAAATAAAATCCTCTGGGGCTGGCCCAGAGGTTATGCTTCCATTGCCATGGGAGAGACCTGGATTAATTCCTGCTCTGGTCCTTTGCTCTGAGGACCAGCAGCAGCAGTGTGGGGTGTTGCAGAGGTTTTGGACAGTGATACTCAGCAGTGACCTTTCTGATTGATGGTGGGGCAGTGTGGATGAGCCCTGGGGGGACCCAGCCCTCCTCAGACGGGCAGCATCAATGGAGGGAAGTGGGGACGGATGACAGCCCAGGGAAAAGATGAGGACTCAGGGCTCTTCTGGGGGCACGGGAGTTGTCCTCAAGTTTAAAAAGCAAAAAAGCATATGAAGTGACACACCCCACTGCCATAGCTAGGCAAGATGGGGGAAATTCAACAACATATTATTTGCTGGAAAGAAAACGTACTTTTTTTTTAAAATGTGGCTCTCAGTGAAAACCACGTTTATAAAATTTCAAACAATGTATGTTTTGTGGTTGTTGGGACTGAGCACAGCACTCCTCACGGAGCTTTAAATCATTTCATATGAATGCAAAAGCCCTCTCTGCTTTGCTGAATCGAGAGATCTCCAAAAAAGCCTGAATGTGAAAAGAAAAGTAACAGCTGAAAATTCCAGCCAGCGGGTTCGAGTTTTCCAAGGCCTGTTTGCTTTGGCCTGCCTCTGCCATTCCTTTCTTTCTTTCTTTAGAAGTGTGAAACTGGTTGGTCGCTGGTATTTGTTCTGCGGTCTGTGCTAACTGTTCCATCTGTGTAAACTCCAACTTGCCAGACTGGGAGTTTAACAACACTTTCCCTTCAGCTGGAAGGAAAATGAAAGTCCCGTTAAGTGGCACTTTGAAGCTTTGCAAAACACACTGCGCTGAGTTTAAACGTAGAGCGGGAAGGTCTGCTCCTGCCCAGGGCTGCTCCTTTCCATCAGCACAGGATCAGCCCCGGGCTGGAGCCGGCAGTGGGTTTGGGGGCTGCACACTCAAAGCATCTCACGGCATGCTCAAAAAAAGTGCATTAGCAAATTAAACAGCTGAAACCTACAGAAACACAAGGAGAGCTACATAGCCAAGTCACCTACATCTTTACTAGGGGTATCTCTTTGGCACTTGTTACCAAGACTCTGATCTATAAAAGTATTCAAGTTCTAAAATTATCTCTTAGACAGCTGAGTAGGAGTTAAATGCCTAAATTTCTCAGTAGGTCTGGTTTCTAGCTAGTGTCGCACATTAGAATTGCAGGTTTTCTTGCCCTGGATGTCCAACTGAGTCCGAAAGTAAGTCCAGTTCCCTTCTGATCAACCAGTTCGGCTGTGCTCAACGTGATCAAATATTTGTTTCCCTCTAATTTTTAAGATTAATGATATTTCTATGTTGGTATTGTCATTCCAGGTCACTACTGTAATTGATATTTTATGTCTGTGGATTGCCAAGCTGTGATTTAAATCTGAGTCCAGCTTCCAGACAACCTTTGTATCATTGACCAAGTCTTGAGGAGTGTAGGCTGAGGAGCAACCAGCTCCAGCACCCCACTGGTGTGATGGAGGACGGACTCACTCTGCCGTATCAGATTGACCTCAATGGAGGATTGAGCCCATCCTGGCAAGGCTCTGAGTCCAGCTTTGATGACACCTCTCTGTTGTTGGACCAGTTCTAATCTAGATTTAAGTCTAGCTCAGTTCTTGTTTAAAGATAAAATATATTAAAAAAAAAAATAATAATCCCTGATTAACTCTGTCTTGATGAAAATGCTCTCAGACTTTTATTTACACACAAAAGACAGCTGAAATGCTGTTTTGCCTCCCATTTTCACACTGCTGTTCTTCTGACCCATGGTATGTATTTGTCCTTCCTAGGGTTCATCAGCCCTTCCTAAATCATACTCCAGAGCCCCAGGCATATGGCTGCTTTCTCGCCTTCCTCTTTTTTTCACGTTGTTTTCTTTTTTTTTCCTGACTGTGTGCTTAACAAGGGTGCATTTTCAAAGCTATGTATGGGTTTTATCTGCCTGAATCCTGTTATGGCTAACAGAGAAGCTGCGCTGCTAATGCATAAGTAATACTTTGAAAATATGTAGTAAAATTCAAGATCAGCATAGGAGAAGAGTATATCAGCTCAGAAAAACTCATTGTTGCTGAGAAAGCAGAATTCATCAGATTCTTCTAAAATAATGTTTCTGAACATTCATATGAACTCCCACCAGCTGTTGAGTTCAATCGTGTTTAGTCCTAATCAAAAAATATACTGTTGTTTTTTTCATAGAAAATTTAGAG